CATCTGGAAATTTTTACACACTGTGTATAGAGCTTCCATCACTTAGCTAACATGACATCAGTACTACCAGTCACCTGTTAGATGGCCTTGCATGGGATTAGTTATCTATAAAAATTTCAAAAGCATATTCCTGTTATGTCTTTGCTAGAGGAGGAGGAGGACCAAAGCTGCAAATAAAAATGTTCCAGGTTTAATATTTTTCAAAGTCTGGGAACTTAGAATAACAAAGCTGACATAGAGAAATGAAAAAGTTCTGGGCACCACAATTCTTTTATGACCTTCAAAAATACACTTGTTCAGCCTACTAAATTTAAGGGGTGACAGTGTTCACTGTTCAATATAGTTTACATTTTGGCAAGATAAAATTAGTAAGCTGTTTTGCACACTGTTTCAACAGGACCTGTTGACCACGTGTCTTTTAATGTAATCATCAGATTTTTCTTTGTAGAAGATAGATTGTAGTCTGGTTTCCTTCTACTGATAAGGAAAGGGTTTTTTTCCCTTTTAACACCACAAGAGTTGTTGTACTTCAAAAGTGTCCCTGATTGTCAGAAACATGCTGGCTTAAACACAAGTGGATCCTCTTATCTCTGTTATCCTGAGGAATCCTTTGATTATCACCACAAGCTCTTACATTTCTGAATTGTCTGTGGCTGTATTTGGTGCTTTTTGTATTAAAAAAATTAAAAGTCCCATAGTCGTGTATAAGGTTATACCAATTTCCACCAATTTCACCTTCAGGAATTTATAGAGCCCACCCAGGTGCCAGTACTTAGTAGCAGTGAGTACCCCTGCAAAAAATGCCCTAGCTGTACTTAATGTTTTCTACCTAGATGACCACCAGCTCTTTACAGGGGTACTTTAGGCATGAGCTCTTCTGGTATGAGCTTAGTCATATGGGCATGGAAAGGCACAATGGAGCCCCTGCCCTTCCCTCTCTTTGGTGAGTGCCACAGCATGCCAGCAATTAACCAAAATCAAAGGCTGGTCCACTTCCTATTTCCCTGTTCAACCTTCCCTCTCAAACCTATGACTTGGTTGGGAAGTCGCTTTGTGGTCCAACAGACTCCTGACTGAAGGCTTGGATATGCTGGCCTCCCATTTGCAGTAATGGCCCTACAATGATTCCCCCTTGTACATCTTGGAAGGGATTGTATCTTTATTTTGTCTTTCATCCGTGGAAGTTTGGATGGCTCTCATTCCAATAGGTTTTGCTCTTTATTTTTCCCCTCATTTCCACCCATCATTATGAACTTCTGGATGTCATTTAAGTTGCTGTAGTCAAAGAATTAGTTCTTTAAATGTGCCAGCAGTACAACCAATGGCCATGAAAAATTGATTTGTGGTCTCAGAAAATACTTTTATTGGCTTCAGAATTCCTGCATTTAAGTTGACACATCTGTACACAACATAAATTGCAGTCGTCAACTATGGTCTGATGATATTTTGTCTTGTTGCCATCTGTTCTCCAGAAACCATCATTTTTCTCCATCCTTTCTAAGAGTACATTAAATAACCCTTTAGGAGACGTAATGTACTTGCCATTGAACCATTGATTTTTATTATGCCTGTGAATGTTTGGGGACAAGTTGCACTGAAACATAGCTTGCATAATATTACTTTGCTGTCCTGATAAAAATTCAAAAGTCCGTTTTGCAGGATCATTATGCTAAGTTGCTCCTTCTGGGATATTTTGAAAGAGACTCATAACTACTGATTGCTTTTGAGCACTGTATTCTTACCCATTTTGGAAATATGGTGAATGAAAACCATTATTATGGAATGATTATAACTCTATTAAAACATGACATTAATTATGACATCGGAAATGGCAGATCAATTAGTTGTAATTGTAATTGCAGGTATGCAATTTCTGTTGCAGAATGTTGAGATAATGGAACATGGAAAAAAAGAAAGAAATGTCAACAGAGTAGAAGCTGCTTTATTTTTCCGCCCATCTAGGAGCCATGCTGTGGGCAAAATTAAGACGAATGAAATCAGGCAGTGTCTTTGATTCGACTGACTTCTGTTGCAGGAGAAATGCACAAGCTTTTAAGTAGTGCAGAGTTCTGAATGTTCTAAGTAATCTGGCAACTTTCATGTTTCCATATTTGACTCTTTCACAAGCTAAAGTTAGTCCATTAAAATATTGTTTTACCTAAGTAAGCAGAAGGGTAGGGTAAATCTTAGGCACCTTTGGCCTCAACTATCTAGCAATCCTTCCTTATTGCCCCTCACCTACCTCTGAGTTCTGTTACTGGCAAGATGGGCTGTCCTCTAAACTCACAAGAACATGAGCCCTGTGTTTTTACCAACTCTGCTTGGTTAGAACCTTGTGGCCCGTTTTTCATCTTTGGGTATAGCGACCATCATTCATGGTCTCTTAATCCTGAGTCTCAGCTGCTGTGTTACATTTGAGCCTATTTATTCTTTAGACACATCAGCTTGGATGTAGAATACAATGTCTTGCCTTTTGAATGTATGTAGGCCACTGGGAACACATCACACCAGAATGCCCAACTTCTGCGTAGGGTCCTACGTCCCTTCGAGATGCCAGCAGGGGGTGTGGGGGGACACTCTGGGAGCGGGAAGTGTTGCCCCCAATGTGCTGATATCACCAGCAGTTGATGTAGGTGCGTCGGGGGTGATGCTCTGGTTTTGGGGCAAAACTCTATGGTAAAATTGTCCTCAAACCATAGAGTTTTGCCCAGAAATCAGAGGGGGGCCCCCCACGTCACTGACATGCCTATATCACTTTTGGGTGATGTAGGCACATTGCTCCATGTTGGGGGGGGGGATTTCCTACTGCCAGCCAACTGGCTAGTGGCGGGCAGGAAACTGCAAAACTGGAGATCCCCTGACCCCAACTGGGGACTGGCAACCTTACATCTACACCGGGTCCCTGTTATTTTCCAGGTACAATTTGAGATGTTGTAGAACAAAATTTGAGTCCACTAGCACCTTAAAAACCAACAAAATTTTCCAGGGTATGAGCTTTTGTAAGTCAAAGTTCACTTTGTCAGATACAAATCAGAATGAAGGTGTTGTATTTGATAAATCTGAAAAAGTTTCCTAAAACACATACTTCTGATGCTGCTGGGGGCTGGTCTTGACCCCCTTCAAGGATATTCTAGGCCCTTGCCTGAATTTTCAGCATAAACATAGTAAGCCTCTGGCCCTTTTACATGCAGAGAGATGAGGGAATAGCATACAGTTAGTATTCTACTCAGTTTTTCCCATCAGAAACAAATCTGCACCTGCTTGCCAGGTTTCTGACAACTGAGTGCAAATGCACTGGAAAAGCTGGAAATACCTAAGTATTTATTTAAAATTTATAAAATTCAATTGTATTGTGCTAAAATCTAATTAATTTCATACATTTCATATAAATAAAGATACAATATTTAGAGTTTTGCACTGATTCACCTGTATACCTTTAGGCTCCCTTGCCACAAAATTTTGGGCTACTGCTCAGGCACTGTACTGCAGTCTGTTGGATCACCTGTGTCCTCCTATGCCTATAATCTGTGCTTTTAGGATATAAAATGCTCTTGGTCATTGATCTCCATTACTGAATCTCCTTGTTTCCAAAAATGTGATTTTTCTATACTGAGATGCTATAATACCTGTTTTTAAACAACGTTCTAGACAGCTGGGATAAGGAAGAACAATTTTAGCAGTATGCATGGAACTGTGCATTAATAAAATAAAATAATATATTTTAAAGATGCTGTTACCAGACTTGACCCTGTTGGGTTCAGGAAAAATTATTACCTTCTACAATGCAAACCTGTTCATTATCTTCTGAGACCATGCGCTTGTTTGGTTAGTTTGGATGCTGCTATTAGGAGACCCCACTGTGGCTCACAATGTTATTTATTTATTAAAATACTTACATCCCTCTTGTGTCTCAAGGTAGAATGCTCATCACACTTAAAGCATTACGGTTTAAAACCAATAGATTAAAGCCCCAGACACCTCCTACCCCCAGAAGATGCCTGCAATTTAGACCCAATTAAAAGCCCTGGTGAATAAAATGATTTTGC